CCTCTCTGTCAACGCTCTCTGATTTCATTTAAAAGAGTCGATCATCAGATATTGTCCAAGATTAACCTTCAGGGTGGATATAGCTCACTAGCAGCCTCGCACCGATGACCTAGTTGATGTCCTTCATTTACCCAGAATGCTTTGCATGTAAATAAAATGGCCCCGTCCGTGTAATATATTTTTAAACTTTTAGTTTAAAATTTATAAAAGCTGAACATCCTACAATATTTTTACAGTCTTTATTTTACAGTTAAAATATATGTTTATCATATAATGTCTAATGTTACAACTAATCGGGGATCCCTTTAACTTGCCTGTGACCCAGTGTGAGCAGTGGGTCATGATGCTTTCTGACATTAGTGTTCCATTATTAGCAAAGCCACTATCATCTATTATCTGTATACAGATGTCCTACTCTTAGTTGTGGCAGAATGGTAATAGCCATCCTCCTTACTGGTTTCATGTTCACACAAGAAGTGCACTTTCTTTACATATTGTCTCTTTTTAACCCATACGCAAGAGATGCACAAATTTCAAATGTGTTTTTCCAAAATGTCCCTATAGACTGCCTGAAGCAGCACTAAGACAGGTTATAAGTGAGCCATTAGTCAGCTGAGGGTATTTAGGACAGTGGGAGGCTTGACTGCAAAATGTATTGCCACACAGTTTGCCTGTGGATTATTCCTATTGTAGTAATGTTATGACAATTATATTTTGGTATACTAAACATCTTCTTTTTGGTTCATTTGTTCATTTTTTGTGTGAAAATAAAATATCAAATCATATTTAGTGAGTTTAAACCTGCTTAACTAACTTTTGCCTCAGCTTAAAAATAAAAATTACTTATGAAGACATTTTTGTCTTGCTTAGCACAGGTGTTAACTAGTTAAATATGTAGCCTGTGAAAATTATTTTTCCATTAGTTGTACCTGCTTTAAAAAAGACCTTTAATCTAAATCATTTTGAGACAGAACATGAATGAAATGGAACAAAGTCAGCTAAAAATGCAGTACTGTAAAGCAGGCAGCTGCATTATCATGCAGCAAGTGGTTGTCCCATCAGGGGATTTGCACGTCTCCGTTAGAGGAGAGCCAGAAACAGAAACAAAATTTTCTCCCATGATTTGAGCCTGCAGAGTTTAAAGACAGCTGCTGGTGCAGCTAGACTGGCACAAAGTACTCGCAAGGAAGACAAGAAATTATCATGTGTTTGTCATTATAAGTGTTTAATGTTTACCATTTGGCAGAATTAGAGATTCATACTCTTCCAGCTCTGCCAGCCTTTGTTATATGCCTCTACTTTGTCACATGCACAACATTGGATTTTAATTCATTTTAATGAAACCGAGTCTTGTCTTCCTATCACTAAATGTTTTATCACAATCCCTGATACAATGTATTTTGTTTCATTTTAGACTCCCTCTCTGATTGACGAGGATTAAGAAACATATTTTGCTTTATAGCAAAAACAAGAGTCTCCTGATCAAAACAGGTAAGAATCCTGATTTGTCACTTGTTTTTGTCTGTGCTGTTCAGTATAAGCTTGCAGTGATGCTGATATGCATCAGTGTGCTTTACAAAGCAATATAAGACGTTCTGTTTCCGTTTTTCCTTTTGTTGTGTTATACCAGCTGTAAAAATGTACCATACATACTCTTATCTTGAGAAAACTGCAGCATTGTTATGAAGCAAAGGACTGAGTGTTTTTTAACTGGACAGCAAAAAGATTCTCCCAGATTTCCAAAACCTCTTTTAAACTAAAGCTGATCCTACATTGTTGTCTATAGTCCTGCTGCTTTCTTCATGATGTGTTGAACCACAAACACAACAGAATGTCCTGATTTAATTGTAGTTAACATCTGGCCACCAATGTTTTCAGCAAAAGCATACTGTGTGTTTTCTTGGCTGTTACTATGATCGGAAGCGATTGTGGTTCCTTTTTATGTAGTTAGACAGCTAGTGATTGTCAGGTAGAAGGGTTCAGTCAGTCAATGTACAAAGTCAGTTTGTGTTACTGATCTTTCTACTAAGCGGGGTATTTTGAAGAGAGTTTGTTTAAAGCTTATACCGAAGCCCATATTTGTATGTATACTACAGTAGCAATACCATTCTGGCTCTGCTTCAATCCCCAGTGCTAAAGAGTCTACAATATATGTTGTTAGCCTTGCTGAGCCAATGTTAAGTTACGATGTTTAGCCATTAATCTTCCTCTTATTAAGTGTAATATCAATCTCCAAAAAGGACAAACTGTAATCTTTTGTCCAGCCTCCTACATTTGCTTTCTACTTCATCATAAGCAGAACAGGGCTCCATTTCATGGCAAAACATGCATGGATATTGTGTTCAATTAGCTTTTGAACAGCATGAATATTATTCATTCAGCTATTCCTTGGACTCCATGAATTTTAATTGTCTATTTAAACCCATGGCAGTCATCATCGCAGTGTCGAAAACCTTTGACCGCCATGATGGATGATGTAATTGGGTTGAATGAGGATGCGAGCAAACAACAGACCAAAGGATGTCATGTTATGTCTCCAACACATTCGAGTGAAAGGAGATCTTATCCCCGTTTTCTGGTTTTTGTTTGGGATGCTGGGCAAAATGTCGTCAGCATAGTTTGTATACATGTGAAGAGGCATCACAGCGCTGGAAGGTGAATAATTTTTGGTGGCATCTGCACATTTTGCAATATGCTAATGAGCTAAAGCTGCAAAAGCCAGATTGCCAGAAGAGAGAAAGGGAGATGGAGAGAAAGAAGAAGAAGAAGAAGAAGAAAAAAACAGGGAGCAGAGCAGAGTGGAAGAGGGAGAAACAGACGGAGGCTGGTGTAAATTATGGATGCAACCTGCGATTTCCAAGAGAAAAAGAAAGGCAGAGAGGAACCTCAAGTCATGCATATCAGATTATGCATTTACCACATTTTCTTATCATGGTCCGTGAGCAAACTCAAATGCAATCTGGCCTCTTTGTGCATGCGTGTGTCTGTGTGTGAGACCGCTTACATATTCATCCACGTCAAGTTTCATGGAGTTGTGCTGTGCTGTCAGGCATTCTCAAAACTTGGTCTGAAGTGTGTGTCTAAAGGTGTGCTGAAGTCCGATGCATTTCTTTGTACACATAAAGCTCGAACACTGACATAACGACCGATTTTTACTGCTTTGAACGACTTTTTGTGCCTAAATCACAGTGTGTATTTATTTGGCATTGTTTAATCAGTCCTAGAGCTGAAAGGAGCTTTGTTAAAAACACTTGAATCTCATCATGTGACTCGCCTGCTTGAGCAGTTCTAAGTGAAGTTAAGTAAAAGTGAGCATTCGTGTGCCGCTACCACATCCCACCCATGTGTGTCAGTCCCCATATGCGTGTGTGTGCCAGTGTGAATAATGGATCCATTCTTGAGTCGTGTCTGTGACTGGGGTCTGTACTGTGGTCTGGTTTCCCCAGCAGAGGTGGAGGTACGGGAGACGGGAGGGGCTGATGGTCTGGAAATAGCTCTGCTTGAGCTGAGAACACCTTAGGTGGGCCTCAGTGTCAGCCTCACCTTCCTTTAACACACTTGCATGGCTAAAATCCAGTTCCACTTGCAAACCTGGGCTATATTATGCGCACACTTTAACAGATCTCCAGTCAAGCTCCGCTGTCTGTGTGATCTCCTCAAACGTGACAGCAGACTTCTAAAAACGCTGCCGTTTCTAAGAACCTAACAAGAATACGTTGCACTTAAAGCAAGAGGTGTCAGTGCTTGCAACAGAAAATATGAAGCTTCTTTGGATCTCGCTGTCATGTAAATGTGTGTTAATTGCAAAGTAGGTCATTTATTTGGAGCAGGGACAGCCGTAGTGTGCTTTTCTTGAGCTATGTCAGAGCAGGGACTTGTTCACAAGCAAACACATTGCTGGATCTGGTGAACTGCAAAATTAATTTACTTGCTGCTGTTTTGTTTATGTGTCATTCCTAAACCTGAATGAATGTTGGGCTGCAGCTAACAGTTATTTTAGTAATTGATTATTGTGTTGTAGGGGGGTGGGTGAAATAATCGATTCAGCAATGCATTGCAATTCATTTTTTTGTTTGCAGTTCAATATCGATTCAGAAAATCCTCTGAATCATTTTAACGTTTTGGACAGTTTGCGCTTTGGTTGTGAACAATCCGGAACCACTTTGTTTCTGGCCAGTCGGCGATATTTGCGGGACGTGTTCAAAACAAAACTTTAGGTGCAGACACAAAAGGAGTGAACTTCAGCTAAAGTGGCCAGAAAATGAAGAAACTGTGGCCTGACTGCAGCCCCATGACAGTCAGGGAAGTGGAGGATTTTACTGTTTGGTGTAAAAAAAAAAAAGATTGGAACCGGTCAACATATGTAAAGGTAAGCTAGTGTTAGATGATTTTCAGATATTCATATTTAATGCGAAAATCTGCAATTTTCAATTTTACACAGGATGATACCTCCTGGCTGCAGGATTACAGATTTATTACAGGGACAATGTTGATGAGTAAGTAAAATAGATAATGTAAAAACCTGAGATTTGCTCATTGAGTTTTGTCGAGTTCACTTGTCATTGTAAACAGTAAAAGTAAAGTTGTGTTTTTATTAAGACTATTATGTTGGTGCAGCGTTCCTATTTTAGGCAATAAAATATTTAGTCTTGCCTGCTTAGCTTTAAACAAATATGACAGTTGTATTAAATGAAGGCTAATGACAGGTTTCAAAGTCATAAAAAGTAGTAGCAAAAAAAATCTTACTAACTACTGTAAATACTTTTAAACTTGAAATATTCACTCCAAGTATCTCATTTAAGTTACTTGAGTTATTTAAGGAATCATTTCAGCCCTAAAGGATTTCATTTTGTCCACATCCTTTCACGCCAGAGTTTAAATTACTTTGTAAGATTGACTTAACATAAGAATGTATGGATATACAACAATTTTGGTCAAACCTTGTAAATGGCATCATGCACAATATTATGCAATATTGCAAAATCCTGTGAGACATGTCAGTGCTTGGAGTATGTGGATGATTTTAGCTCAGTATTAATACAACTGGCTTTGTTGCGTATATCCATTTTTGTGTTGCATAAGGTCATTGAAGTCCATTTTGAATTGAGTCCAAAATGTCTTGAGTTGTAGATATATGTCTGATTATTACTGCCTGAAAGTTTCATTAAATTCCATTCAGTCGTTCATGAAATATTTAGCTTACAGACAGAGTTGACTCCAGTAATTAGAGGAAAAGCTTTCAAAATAGATCTCATGCAGTTAGCTCAGTGTATGTGTTGGAGATGATGCTCAGCTACTACCACATCAAACTGTAACTAAATATTTATAAATTGTGCTGAGTTATAGCTCTTGTGTCTTTAGTGTTGAAAAGGACATCGTGCTAAATCCACTTTTTTAACCATTAAAGGCATTTTTGTGTATTTGGAGTCTCTAGGAGTGCAGAAAATTTGAATTTAGAATTCAAAAGCATGATACAGTAACTTCAGTACAGTTTAACTTCGAAAGGTAATCAGTTGCAGTGGTACATCTGGTATTTACTTTGAGAGTTTCAATGAAATCTACTGGCTCATAAGTTATTTTGCTAACACTAAAGACTAACGTGTGCAGACAAAGGCAATACAATTGTGGAAAATGAATGATCAAATCGAGAAGAAGGTGTGGAGTGGCTGCTGAAGGTTGTGGTCAATCCAGATTCCAGAAGCAGCATCAGTAACCACAGCACAGGGAGAGCAGCTGAAAAATCAGACTAAATCAGATTACCAAACAAACAGTAAAGAGGATTATTTCCGATCTCTCTCTCTCTCTCTCTCTCTCTCTCTCTCTCTCTCTCTCTCTCTCTCTCTCTCTCTCTCTCTCTC